TTGTTTTAAGCGACTTCTTCTGTAGAACTAAGAGATGGATATCAACCATATTTGACTGGAAGCATCCCTAGGTGGTGGGGATTCAAAATTGTACAAATGGTGGAGTTGACCCCCCGGGCTAAGGGATGGGGCCAAAACAAGTTTATTACTTGGAAATGGTCGAGATCCCCACCATAAAACCATATATACAATTGCTGAGTATAAAGAGAAGTTAGCACATTTGCTTCCAGGATGGCCCCAAGGTCTGTCCCCACCCTTGGAGACATAGTCCTTGGGTCATAACTTTGAAACGGTTGAGATCCCCATCCCAAAACTATAAATACAAATCCTGGGCAAAAAGAGACGAATGCAGTCATGATATTAGAATTGATCCTGGGGTCTGGCACACCTTTGCAGACTTAACCCATGGGTCATAACTTTGAAACGGTTGAGATCCCCAACCCAAAACTATAAATACAAATCCTGGGCAAAAAAAACCCGAATGCAGTCATGATATTAGAATTGATCATGGGGTCTGGCCACAACCCTGTGGACCTAGTTTCTGAGTCACAGCTTGGAAACAGTTGAGATCCCCATCCCATAACCATATATAAAATTGCTGGGCATGAAAAATCTAATACATATATTTACATGGATTTGCCTTGTGGTCTGGCATATTCCCTTGGATCTCATTAGGAGAATAGTTTGACATGGTTGCTTAGATATCTCAAGGTGAGCGATACAGGCCCTCTGCGCCTCTTGTTATCAGATCAATCAATGTGACTCGGTTCGTTAGCAAAGTTGTAATGGGGATCAGTGCTTGGTGGTCTAGCGTGATGTGTATGTCACAAACGTCTTCTGGAGATGAAGGGAACCGCTAAAATTTAAACAACATTAAAAACAGAAATAAAACCTTGCTATGCTAAGATTAACAATTCATTAATAAACACAGACATTTGGATTTGACTTTCTATCATTAAAACGACAGAATGTATGTATTAATAAAAAAGTATTCAACAACTTGATCAAATAGAATAACAATCATTTTCACTTACGTTGAGGCTAATAGAGTTGCAATTACTTTAGTTTGTGGACATTTCATTTAGGTGTTCTCTGTATTTATCATGTGACCGTATAATTATGAGCAACACCTTAGACTCACTCAAGTCTGCAAACAAGTATTGTATTCGATAGAGTGAAATTCAATATGACCTTCCGAAAATGTACAGCCCCAACCCCCACCCAAACGCACCAATTTTCATAACTGGCCTAATTATAAGTAGTAGGGTTCACAACAGCTATGATTCGGCGTTCAGATGTGTCTATAATTTCCCTTGCAATTTTGTTAAATTTTTCTAACCATAACAGCTAAAAGGAGTTAAAAAATGCGCTAACACCAAATCGGAATGAAGTAGTGATATTGCGGTTCCTATCACAGCTGTCCGTAGTAATAAGTGGCAATCCAAGCACAGTATTGCGATTCGGCTCGTTATCAAATTTGTAAAAGGAAATCAGTGCACGAAGCCTTGTACTTTTTAAGTCTTCAGTTTGAGGTCATTGGCCAAAACTTCAATTAATGCAAAAACAACAAAATGCGGTTTTCACTTCTACTTTATATCAAAAAAACCCATTAACAACAACAAAATCGAATTAGGATAACAATATGGTCTTAATTGGATGCTCACATATAGTATGGTAAGTTAACTCAACATCAATTTTAGGAGCAATATCAATCATGTATTTAATAGTATTTTGTATCGTATATATAGATATCTCCCATAAAGTTTGAAATATTTGTTATTATGATATTATATCACTTATAATATACATAATTTAAGATATATCAAATATATTGATCGTGTGAGCCCCGGGTGCTAATTTTGTTTTGTAAGAACACCCATCGATAAAATGTTAACCAAATAGAGGTTATACAATATATATATCATATTTTTGAAAAAGTACAAATCAACGACATATGCTTGCATTTAGAATAAAGAGCAAAAATGATTCAGATAATTGCTTTTGTAGCACATTGTATCAAAACCTAAAATAGCAACTCTTGAATATGTAAATAGATCTTAAATACACTTTATGACCACTATATAACCATAATCCTATTCATTTATTATTTAAATCTTTCTGCAAACAGTTATTTTCGTTAGTTTTTCATATTTACAGTTAGGCTTCAGGATTATGCGGGATTATATAAATTATTCAACACATTTTGTATCTTTAGCAGAACCCATCAATACGAGCAAGTCATCTGCGTGCATCATTGGGAACAAACTGCATTCTCAAATTTAAATTTAAACTTTTGTTTCAGCGAAAAAACACCTATGAGTGTTCCATTGCACAGAAAACATGATTTTACTTGTTTTTGTTCTCTTTTGTGTACTTTTGAAACTGAAGAAATCATGTATTGCTTTACTCATTTATAAATATATATTATAATCATGGAAACACCTTCAATTTGTTGATCAAGATGTTCCTCCTCAGGGCAATGTCCATATGTTTGGTATATTATTATTGATTTTCTTTTTACTTCAGTTGTGATTATGTCCACTGTCAAGACTGTTGATCTATATATATAAATATTTAAAGAATGAATAAGCATGGGAAAAGCTTTCACCGTATTGCTTGATCAAACTATCTTTGCTCGGGAACGCTTTTACATGAAATTATATGTAGAATGGCCGCCGTCCCTAGAATATTAAACTCTTCAGGAATTAGACTCCAACAATTTTGATCATTTTGATGCCTGATTTGTAGACTAGTTCCGAAGTATTTAATCATTAAGAAAATAGACTTAAAACAATTTAATCACTTGAATGTCTGATTCTGAAGACTGGTCAAATTCAGATAAAGTTTGTAATTTTACCCAAGATGTTGGCTATTTGTAAGCCTCACCACATCCTTTCTGATGACTTGATATTGGTCCACCTCTTTTTATTGACTACACACAGGTATACTGCATCATTGGCCTATCCTAAATTAAATAAACATGACATAACTGAACTTAGGAGTATAAGTAAGTTCTCTGTTGTGCTTTGGAGTTAACTGTAGGCGTTATCAAAATAAGGTTTTTTATTGTGAAATGCAATTACAAAACCATTCTGAGTTCAATTCTTATATAGGACATATCATTCTTATAAATACTGATATGATTTTATTCAAATAGATAAGACTCCAAGGCACACATTTCTAGTAAAGATGTATTTTGAAGCATGGACAGGCATTATGTAAAATATAATACGGGTTGTTTATCTTTCAATAAAGCTGAAAGTAGCTGATGATTAGCTGTATTTGCTTTACAGTAATTTTAAAAAGTCGTAAAAAAACGACTATATTAATATCAGAAAGTATATACATGAGAAAAACAGGTATGTTTTTTTCCTGATCAGGATGTCCCCCGCTCAGGACCGTAGACTCTAGATCTACTAGCTATAGTAATAGATTATACTGCTTATAAATAACCATTCTTGTAAGTCGGGGTTCTATTTTTAAATTAAAACGACTCCTCTAATGACAATATTCACTGCGATCTGAATTTTGTTTATAAATGTATATATGTATGCAAACAAATATGATTTTATTTCCTGATCATGATGGCCCCCGCCCAGGACTGTGTACGTTTTAAGATGTAGATATAGAGTATTCCATCAATGATGTAATGTAATTTTCATTTAAAAATCATTAGGATGCTTCTCTTGACCGTTCGCATTGCTAGCTTTTTGTACTTGATCAAAACCTATGTAAATAATTTCCATTTTAGTTCCTGATCAGGACCGTAGACGTTCTAATATCTATATATGGAAGATAAAATACTTTAGACATAGTTTAATTATTGTTTCTAAATCACATTCAGCCATCTCTTACCTATGCGCATTGCCAACTGTTGTAATTGATGAATTAATTCGAATATAATGAGCACGTGGTTTCCTGATCAGGATGGCCCCGGTCAGGACCGTATACGCTACTAGCTATATAGTTATAGACTATACGGCTTATAACAATTCTTGTAAGTCGGGGTTCTATTTCTTAATTAAAACGACTCATCAAAAAAAAAAAATCATTATGATGCTTCTCTTGACCGTTTGCATTGCTAGCTTTTTTATTTCCATTTAAATTCCTGCTTAGGATCTTATACTAGCATGCAACTCGAAGATAAAATATTATAGACATAGTTCAATATCTATTTCTCAATCATATTTACTCATCTCTTGACTCTAATAACTGTCACCTTTATGAATTTGATCCATTAATACGGATATAATGAGTACTTGATATACTAATATGGGTGTCCCTGTTACCTGTTACCGGCTACGTTCCAATATCAACATATAATTAAAGAGATTGACGATTGATTTGATGTTTTGTTTCTATTTCAATATCACCTCTCTTGACTGCAAACTTTGCTGCCTTTATATGTTTTATAAATAACTACGGATATATTCACTATAACATATCCTGTCTGATCATGATGTCCGTGCACAGGACGTATACACTACATCGTGGAATACAAAGATAAAATACTATAATATAGTTTACTTTGTATTTCTAAACCATCTTTATTCCTCTCTTTGACTGTAAACACTGCCACCTTCATGTATTTGATCCATCAATACGGATATAATTAGTACTCGATTTCCTGATCAGGATGTCCCTGCTCAGGACGTTAACGCTCACAGCTTAAGTTATAAACTATACGGCATATAACCATTCTTATAAGTCGTGGTTCTATTTCCTCAATTAATACAGCCATTTAAATGACCATATACACTGAACATTATCTTCCTTTAGTTTATAAATGAAAAATATCTACGCTATTTCCTGATAAGAATGTCTCAGATGAGGACCCTATACACTATAAAATGTAGTTATAAGATATCCAACTGTTATATCATGCTCCAAGTCCGGACGAGTTATCCTATCTTGACGGTCCTCACCAGCCCCAGTCCTGCTCAGCCCCGGTCCCAGTGAGAGACAGCGCAGCTGTCTGATGCCACTCTTATATTCCGACTCCGCCCCCTTTATGATATCTACCGCAAGTACCGAACGACCGAGTTCCGTTGTTATCTGTCGGAGAGTCTGGTAAGTCCGTTTTGTCACATAACATAGACAATGCTTTCTATAATATTAACTGGCTTTTATTTAAAAAACTAAAGAGATGTGTTATAAACTAATACTCATACACTGCAAAATCAACAGAGTATTAAATAAGATTGTTTAACGTCACATTGTGTCTGACTATGCTAGAGGACTATCAGTCCCCGAGGTTGGCTGTAACCTTGTATGTACTGGTGGACTATCAGTCCCCGAGGTTGGCTGTAACCTTGTATCTACTGGTGGACTATCAGTCCCCGAGGTTGGCTGTAACCTTGTATCTACTGGTGGACTATCAGTCCCCGAGGTTGGCTGTAACCTTGTATCTACTGGTGGACTATCAGTCCCCGAGGTTGGCTGTAACCTTGTATCTACTGGTGGACTATCAGTCCCCGAGGTTGGCTGTAACCTTGTATCTACTGGTGGACTATCAGTCCCCGAGGTTGGCTGTAACCTTGTATCTACTGGTGGACTATCAGTCCCCGAGGTTGGCTGTAACCTTGTATCTACTGGTGGACTATCAGTCCCCGAGGTTGGCTGTAACCTTGTATCTACTGGTGGACTATCAGTCCCCGAGGTTGGCTGTAACCTTGTATCTACTGGTGGACTATCAGTCCCCGAGGTTGGCTGTAACCTTGTATCTACTGGTGGACTATCAGTCCCCGAGGTTGGCTGTAACCTTGTATCTACTGGTGGACTATCAGTCCCCGAGGTTGGCTGTAACCTTGTATCTACTGGTGGACTATCAGTCCCCGAGGTTGGCTGTAACCTTGTATCTACTGGTGGACTATCAGTCCCCGAGGTTGGCTGTAACCTTGTATCTACTGGTGGACTATCAGTCCCCGAGGTTGGCTGTAACCTTGTATCTACTGGTGGACTATCAGTCCCCGAGGTTGGCTGTAACCTTGTATCTACTGGTGGACTATCAGTCCCCGAGGTTGGCTGTAACCTTGTATCTACTGGTGGACTATCAGTACCCGAGGTTGGCTGTAACCTTGTATCTACTGGTGGACTATCAGTCCCCGAGGTTGGCTGTAACCTTGTATGTACTGGTGGACTATCAGTACCCGAGGTTGGCTGTAACCTTGTATCTACTGGTGGACTATCAGTACCCGAGGTTGACCGTAACCTTGTATGTACTGGTGGACTATCAGTCCCCGAGGTTGACCGTAACCTTGTATCTACTGGTGGACTATCAGTCCCCGAGGTTGGCTGTAACCTTGTATCTAATGGTGGACTATCAGCCCCCGAGGTTGACTGTAACCTTGTATCTGATGGTGGACTATCAGTACCCGAGGTTGGCTGTAGCCTTGTACCTAATGGTGGACTATCAGTCCCCGAGGTTGGCTGTAGCCTTGTATCTACGCTAAATTTGAGAAGGATGGACCCACCTTAAATATTTCGTATGATCATAATGTTGGTCGTACCCGTTTAGATGTAACATTGTCATTTGGATTTGATATCTTGTTACACATAATTCAGTGTGTCCGCAATTAAAATATGTGCTGAACAATTGCAGTTACAGGTACAAAGTAGAGAATTACACCTTTGTAGTTATAAACACAAGTCCTACCTACAATGTCGGTAGAGGTAGCTATTCCTGATGTCACCCCGGGGACTGGGGAGTGTCCACACTGGGAAGACAACACCCAACGCCTCGTCTTCGTTGATATCACCGAGAACAGCGTGTGCCGGTGGGACTCCGTCACCGGAACCATTGACAAGGTACAATTAGGTAGGTACCGATCTCAAAGACTGACCAGTGTCAACGAAACTGCATATTAACGGTAAGATGAACATATATGTGTGGTATGGTCTACTTCTGTGTCGGTGTATTCCGTCTTTGCGTATTTCAGAGTTATCTTCTCTTGGGAGCAGGTATTGATTGTTACGTCACTTGTTTGTGAGAGTAACGTCATCAATTTTTGAAAAAACGACGTAATTTTCTCGCACAAACCAATGACGTAACAATCAATACCTGTCCCCAAGAGAAGTTAACTCTGCAATACGCAAAGACGGAATAACACTGAGGCTGGTTATATGAGAATAGAATGTCATAAGTTGACTATAAATATACCAGAAAAATAAAACATCTTTTGTGTTTGAACCAACCAGAGAAATAACAATATATTATTACTTATTTTGTGGTCTTCAGAACAACAATGTGCTTTTGCACTTTCGCTCACTGGAGTTATATATAAATGTATCATTATGACTTGAACTGTATTTTTTTTCACATCTTAGACACGTGCACGTGTACCGGATTTTACAAGGTCGAGTTTCTTAGGCAACGTAGATGTAAACAAGCTACATCCGCGGAGCTGGATTTGACATTTTACATTAGACGTGTAATAATTCCACTTGACTCACATTTGTATTTGTCCAAATTTTCTCGCAGCGACGTCGTGTTGTGCGTCTCAGTTACAAATATTCATACGATACTGACAACTTCTGTTTAGTCCAAAATTTTGTTATTTGGTAATAGATGACAGTGTGAATATACTCAAAACGAGTGTCAAACACTTAACACGAAGAAGAAAAATGCACTGACAGAAGGTTGGAGAATTACTGCTAATCCCTGGATTGGGAGTTAGACAGAGTCGCTCAAACCTCGGGAAAGTATTCTTCCAATCTTATTTCGTGTGAACTGCTTTCGATTCTATCGTTTTGGCTTGTGATACAGGTCGACTCATTACCTGATATCCTGTTAATCGTAAGCTGTAAATCATTACAACTAATATGTTGTGTCATTAACCATGCTTCACCAGGTTTTGGAATCGACTGGCGTCTCACAACCTAAAAGTATTAACAGAATGATAACTCGGACTTGGATAGTCTCGTTCAACCAGACGCTTAATCACTTGTAATTTTTACGTAGCTTGTGCAGACAACAAGAGTCTGGTTGAACGAGACTAGGACTTGGACTGCAGGAACGCTACTACTAGTAATACATTATACCAATGTTAATGTCTATAACACAGGATAACTGTTTCAGAGGACGCGGTTGGATGTATTGTGCCATGTAAGAAGGGAGGGTACCTAGTAGGAGTTGGCCGGAATGTTGCACATCTCGACTGGTCATCTCAAAAACTGACCAAGCTGCACGAGATACCTCTAAATGGCGTTCAGAACCGACTTAATGATGGAAAATGTGACCCGGCCGGTCGATTTTGGTTAGGTACGAACCAGCATTAGCTCCGTGTTACGTAAAAGAAAACGGAAACTATCAAAGACAAGCTTAGGCTGAATACTGGTATAACCTATATATTGTCTTGTAAAACACTAACAAGATAGTTTTTGTCTTGAAGTGTTATGATTTTTGTTTAAAAATACGTATTCGAGTATCTGTCAAGCAGAGTGCTTCAATGGAGTATAACTGCCTCTGTAGGAACGTTTTAATCAGATCGAGCAAGGCTCTTTCCAGTGTTGTGAATGCTTTAACAACAAAACATTTCGTTATTTCTAATTTTCTATTTAGCAGGGGCAATGGGTAAAGTATTGACCTTTAAACACCTGGCGATCAATATGACCTTTAACCTTATAACTTTTAGTAATCTATTTTGTAGGGAGTATGGGTAAAGTATTGACCTTTAAACTTCTGGCGATCGATTTGACCTTTAAACTTATAACCTTTAGTATTCTATTGTTAGGGAGTATGGGTAAGGTATTGACCTTTAAACCTCTGGCGATCGATATGACCTTTAAACTTATTACCTTTAGTAATCTATTTTGTAGGAAGTATGGGTAAAGTATTGACCTTTAGACTTCTGGTGATAGATTTGACCTTTAACCGTATAACCTTTATTAATCTATTGTGTTGGGAGTATGGGTAAGGTATTGACCTTTAAGTCCCTGGCTTTCAATATGACCTTGAACCTTATAACGTATAGTAATCTATTTTGTAGGGAGTATGGGTAAGGTATTGACCTTTGAACCCCTGGCGTTCGACATGAATAAGGCGGAGCTGTACTGTCTGGATACTGACGGATCCTTTCACAAACGAATGGACAAATTAACCGTCTCCAATGGTATGGCCTGGACAGCTGACCACAGGACTATGTACTTCATCGAAAGTATTCCCGGCCAGATTATGGCCTTCGACTATGACGTCAGTTCCGGTAATATAAGTACGTTATTCTCTGACTGTACATATTTTGTACTCACATTCAGAATTTCATCCCCTTCAAATCTTCAAATTCGTTATGTCTGCTTAACTCGGAGGTTTGTATTTCACTTGCTATGCACAAATGTATCCAATATATATACATATGATTCAAAGAGACCTAAAATATGTTCATTGGGAGAGTTCCGTTTTTGTTTTTACATTGGACTGGATATGCCACTTTTTGTTTTGTTCAAATGCATCCAATATTATATACTGCCTTTGTTCCCTACCTTTTAGGTAACAACAGGACAGTGGTGGACTTGGGGAACCTTGACCCCTCTGATCCTGACAACCTGGGTATACCAGACGGTATGACGATTGACACTGACGGCAATCTTTGGGTCGCTTTCTACGGCACTGGATTGGTCGTCTGCTTCAACCCACAAACAGGTGATCTTTTCTCATGATCTCTCCCCAGTGTAGATATCTGTTAAATAACTTACTATTTGTCTGATGATAAACGTTGACGATTGGGTAAGACTTATTGGCGAATTATTTGTCTACTAATGTACGTTTAAAAAACGGTTAAACACTAACGCAGTTTTTGTTTGCTAGAACTCTTTTACTTTTTGCTTAGAAACTGTAACGAATTGTTTGTTTGCTAGTTCACTTTTATATTTGGGTTAGAAACTGTAACGAATTATTTGTTTGCTATTTCACTTTTACGTTTGGGCGAGAAAATGCAACGAATTTTAGCAAATGTTTGTTTGCTAGTTCACGTAGACGTTTGGTTTAGACTAGAGGTATGGATATATCCCAAGATTTTAACCTCTTTATTGTCAGCAGCAAAATATTGATTTATAGTTTACAACCTTCTGGTGAACAGGTCAGCCTATGTAATATATGTATAGCTAATAAATGTTTGATATATAATCCGAAGTATCTGTAATTGATTTGAAATAAGTATGAGTTCTAGACTGTTTAATATTTTAACCAACAAAGTAGAAATATAGAAATCATGAAATTGATTAGTTTTGATTAAATAATCAATATAGTTTTATGTTATTAATATGAGCGTTTTGAATTATTATATGTATTAATGTTCACTTATGTTTTGTAGGTAAAATTCTCAGAAAAATTGAATTTCCTTGTAAAAGGACGACATCGTGCTGTTTCGGTGGGAAAAACCTTGACGAACTCTATGTAACAAGCGCAAGGGAAGGTTCCACGGACGAGGAGCGCCAATCTTTTCCTGCCACTGGCTCGGTGTTTCGAGTCACAGGACTGGGAGTAAAAGGTTTTCCCGCCAATGTGTATCAAGGAAACTGCTGATAATAGCCAACTGTTTTAGGGTTGTCGCTTTGTCCTATTGCCTATTCAAACAAGCTACTTGAACAGATATTTATGTTTCTAGTCTAACCTTAACAGGAAGACAGTATTTATAAAATAAAAAATGAAAAAACAGAACTGAAACGAGTCAGATTTGACCATAACGCAATAATGTCCCTGTGACGTATTACGGGTAGACAATTTGAACAGCGACATGCGAAACAGCTATTGCAAATACTTGATGGAAAGGAATTTGTTTGGTGTTGGGGTCGGGATATAATGCCATTTATTGCAATATGGGATAAACAAAGAGAGATATTCCACACATCTATTTGGATATAAAACATAATTTCCGAAGTACGAAGAGGGGATCCATTAGGTCATCTACCCCCCCCCCCCCAAAAAAAGAAAACAAAATAAATTCTACCATCTCAAATAAGAAGAGAGAAGAAGCCTTGCACAAATTGATTCACGTCGTTCATTGACCGTGTCTAGACGTTTTGCATGAAAGAAAACAAATGGTGTGACAGAACAAATGTTCAGAGAATTACAATCTCAATAAAAGTTTTTTCTTGTCAATTACCAAAAGTTGAGGAAACAAAAGAAACCCTTCTTTCTGGACCCCTTGTGTGTCTGCAGGGAGCTCATTTTAGTCTTTAGAGAATCAATATTTTGCAACTCTAACGAGGCTGTTGTGGGATAAAGCAGCTTATTTCTGCCTCCCTTACGTGCATTGGGGGCAACGTGATAATACGTATCAGATATGGTGAATGTTTACTTAGTAATGAATGTGTGAGAGATATGTGTTGTAATGGAACAATGACAGGTGGTAATGTTATCGATTCTTTTCTTTAATCTAAATCCTGATCCAATACAAGCCTGTCGCCCTCATATATATACACCAGAACGACGTACCTATGTTTATTAAAGAAGAAAATATCATCTATATACATAAGATATTGACACATAGATAACGCATACGTATCAGATAGATCTGTAACTATACGGTTAACGATTCGTTTCACCACTTTAGTGTAAACATTAAAAGTGACGTTATCTGTCAATAAATAGGAAAAGTGCGTTTGAAGGCTTAAAGGTTTACACGCTATTAAAACTGAATTGAATAATAAAGGTTTCTTCGGATTTGAAGAGGTTGGAGGGCTACATGAATTTAAATATGTAGACAGGCTGAATTCAATCACGGTCTGCTGCACGCTTTGAATATTCGATGGATAACATGCAATGTGCCTAATCAGGGACAATTAGGTGATGTTGGAAAGCGGTATTAGAGGCTAGCTGGTATAATCGCGTCTGTCACCTCCATTTACGAAGTGCACTGTTGTAAATCAGATCATTATGCAACTCCATAAGCTTCTTAAGTATTTATGCCCTTTTTAAAAACTTAACATACAATTTATCTTTTGAATACTGAGATGTTAAAAACTGTTGGTGTCAAGCGACCCGAGCTGTTTGTCATGTTAAGACAACCACTGAAGAGTGTAAAGACGATCTCACACGACTCGGCTACATCGTACAGTAGTTAGTAGTTTTAAGACAGACATATAACTGTCAGTGGTTCGGCTTAAAGAACAAAGAATCCTAGAGCTGTAAACAACATAAAACTACAAGGTACGATGAAGCAAATACTGGGATTCCCGCAGATTGATACAATGTATAAGACCGACAATAAATGTCCCTCTGCAGAAGCTGTAACGTAAGGTAGGTCCTCCCTCAATGATTTATCGGTGAAACATCTTTGTTTTTTTCTTTCAATACCTCATGTACTGTCTATGGAGCATGAACCAAAATAGACGATAGCTTTCCTGATGCACAATTTGGCGTAAATAACTACCACCTGTGGAGAGCCGATAGAAATTCTCATGGCGGCGGAATTGCAGCATATCTACGTTCGGACTTACCAGGACACCGGGTAAAATACATAGATTTTCAGGACATAGAATCAATTTCAGTTGAACTATCATTAAATAATTTGAAATGGTTAATTCAAGGAGTATATAGACCTCCTAGCATGAAAGAAAACACATTCACAGAAGACTTTTGTAAGACTTTTGACCGCTGTACCACGAAATATGACAACCTGATGGTTAAAGGTGACATCAACTATGATTTGTTATCTGATAAAGGAAACCCATTACCAAATTTGATGAATTTTTTTTTGACTTATCAAATCTTGTGAAAGCCCCAACCTGTCATCCTAAAAACACAGAACCTAGCCTTATCGATGTAATTTTGACAAACAAACCAAATATAACAGGTAAAATTTGTAACTTTGATACAGGAGTCAGCGATGTACATACTATTATTGCAGTTCAACTACGGAGTAAGATCACTGTGAGAAAACAGGAATGGATGTCGTACAGAAGTTTTAAACATTTTAATATCGAAAATGTTCATAACGACCTATATAATGCAAAACTTGACGACATAGCCAAACACGAAAACAATAACACGGCTTACAACCAATTCAGCAACACACTAACACGCATAATAGACAAGCACGCACCAATGAAAAAGAGAAAACCACGAATAAATCAAGCACCCTTCATGAACAAGAAACTACGACAGGAAATATATCGCAAGAAAATGCTCCACAACAAATGCACATCAAACCCACAACTTGGAAAATTATAGAAAACAGAGAAATAAGGTCACTAAATTAAGAAAACAATCAATAAGACACTATTTCATAGACAAATGTACAGGGGGGCAAAACACGCAAAACTTTTGGGACACAATTAAACCTTTTATAACCAACAAAGGAAATCAAAAACAAATTGACATCGTCCTAGATGAAGAGAAAATAGTTAATGAGCAAACAGAAGTAGCAGAAATTTTTAACAACTTTTTTGTTAACGTAGCAAAAGAAATAGGAAAAAACAGCATCGACATAAACAATACCCACCCTAGTTTACAAAAAAATCACAGAAAACCAGAAACACAACATTAAAATGAGTCAATTCAAATTTAAACCAGTAGACGAACAATTCATACATAAACAATTTAACAAAATAAACCCTAAGAAAGCAACGGGCTACGATAACATATCGCCTAAATTATTACGTTTAGCACAACTCGCCATCACTAAACCAGTCACTACACTTGTCAATACCGCCCTATCCACTTCCACCTTTCCAGACAACCTAAAATCAGCACAGGTCAGACCAATACACAAGAAAAACAGTACACTTGACAAAGGCAACTACAGACCCGTCAGCATTCTCCCGGCACTTTCCAAGATTTTTGAGAGATCCATATATTCACAACTCAGTGACGTCTTTGATGACGTTTTTCACTCTTATCTCTCTGCATTTAGAGCAGGATATGGGTGTCAAACGGCATTACTGAGAGTCATCGAGGACTGGAAGATGGCACTAGACCAAAATCAGTATGTAGCCTGCATACTGATGGATCTCTCAAAGGCCTTTGACTGTTTGCCCCACAACCTTCTTCTTCTCAAACTCCAAAATTATGGTTTAGATCAGTCGGCAACAAATTTACTTTCGGACTATTTAAGTAATAGAAAACAATGCGTCAAACTTG